GAAGAGGAGTACTGGCCACAGCAGCAAGAGCTGAAGTGTGCCTCTTGGCCTTGTCCCTTGCTCACAGTGCAGTAGAATCAAGCCCAGAGCTTTGCCCAACAGCATGAAAGATGGCAAGGAAAGACTACTCCAAGGAGCTGATGAACAAGGGCTGACAATAGGCATCTGTTCATCTAATTCCCTAATTCACGTATAGCCTCTGAAAGTCCAACTGCCCAGCACATCCTCCTCCTTCCTAAAAGCTCTAAGTTCTTCTTCCTTCCCCTATTCTAAAACACAGCCCTCTACCAGTCTGAGATCGGATTTTCTTTTGCCTGCTTTACTGAGGAGCCTTCGGGAGCTCTGTGCAATCAGTGCTATTTACTGTACAGCCAGAGGTGTTATTATCCGGCCAGAATGAAGCTGGCAATAAGCAATGGTGTGAGCATGTTCAGGGCTCAGACAAAAGTGCATTTATATGCTTCTCCAGACCCACCAGCAGGTGCCTGTATCTTGGGTTAAGGCACAATCACTGCACACACAGTGCTTCACTTCCTGCAAGCATGTCCAGCTGTCTTTTTTTCCCTCCTTTGGATGTAGAGAAAATAGTTCCATATTTAATTCCACTATGGGAAACCACAAACTGCAGAATCAGCAAGTTTGAAAACATAGGACTGGCTGTTTCAACAGAGGGCAAAATTTTATGTACCTGCATGGGAAGAAATCCAATGCTACTGACTCTGGAATGAGATTTGCTTACAGAATCACCACAGCTTACACCATCAACAACTGCTCTGTACGCAAGCAGTCTCACACAAGGCATAACACATCGTGTGAAGAAACAATCAACAGTCAGAAGGTCTCATTTTGTCCATCTCAGCCAACTTTCGTGTTTGTTCTTCACCATCATGAAATTAAGAGAAATTGAACTATAACCCCATTGGTCAGATAGCTCCACCTGGATGAGCAAGTGGAAGGATTATGTGACATGTGGTGTAACAAATATACAAACCGCCCTGACCAGCAACTGCAGCTGCTGCTGTCTAATAACAAGTGGGATACCAAAGGCTTCTCCTGCGGTTGTGAGTAATCTAGCCCTATGTGGATGGTCTCACACCTAGTAACAGCCGAGCTTGTGCCAGTTCTACAGTGGAAACTGCTGTCAGGAACTCTGCCTTCTGTGCAGCCTACTGAGAAAATTACTGACACTTTCAAGGCTGTCTTATTTCTGCTGAATATACTAAACTGGCTGAAGATGTTAGAAAACTATGAAGGATAGACATGTACAGTACGACTATGCGGTGGTATCAGCCTCACTTCCCTAAGAAGTGAATCTGAAGAAACAGATGAGAACTTTTTATTTTTCCTCAGAGTCTTTGTATGTGAAATCACCAAGGCCATAACATACCAGCTGCAAAGGGTCTCAAAAGTAACATTCCCAGAGCCGGATAACCTGAGCACTTGCTACAGGCAAGCTTCCCAGGGTCATTTTGAGAGAGCTCTGAACCTGTGCCTTGGTTTCTGCATTTCTGTAATAGGGCACATACTTAATATCACACTGGCAGCATTTGCATTAAGGTCAATCATGCTGTCAGGCACGTACAGTACGGCTGATTCATTTTCCAACAGCTAATGATGTAGTAGGTCCACCATAGCAATCAAGCACATTATCTCATTTTCCAGTTCAAACCATTGCACAAATTACAGGGTGTTATGTTGGAAATGCAGTAACCACTTAAAAGGAAGAGGAAAAAACACCAAACAATGTGTCAACCTGCATTTAAGGCAGGAAGAGAAACAAAATTATGACTATGTTTGTGTTAGGAAGGAGTAGATCTGCTGAACAGAGCTGGTGCCAAGAACCAGAAGTTATACAGCACACTTCTGGGGTAAAGAAGGGAAAAACGAGAGGAAAAAGTGCTCATTTCAGAACAACTTAGCATCTAACCCCACAAACTGAACACCCCATTAGTGCTAAGTGCCTGTTATGTGAGCTTGTAAAAAACATTTTTCAGCTTAGCTTCATTTAAAAGGAATCCAGGACAGGGAATAAAACAACCATGTGATGTGAACAAAAGCACAGAAAGAGTAGGCAAATGGCAAAGTTGCTTCAGAAGCATGCTCACTCAGCATGGGCCAGCTATGCTGCAGGACAACTTGCCCTTTGGCTCCATGGTTAACATGAGTTGGGACTGAAATAAGCCATATGCTGGTTTAGCAACTGGCTGACTATCTCCCTCAGTGAGAATTTTAATATTTAACAGGTCCCGATTTACTTATTTTCAGCTCCTTGAAGTTTATACTAAATGTGCTGAAACAAAAGCATGATGAATGAAGCCAGAAAGCAGCACACAGTTTAGAACTTAATTATACAGGTTAGCAAATAGAGAATTGCCAGACTACAGCTAGCAAACCTGCAGAGAAATTTAAAAGAGACAGAGCAATTCTGATAGTCAGAGGTGCACGAGGAGAGCAAAGCAGAAAAGCAAGTTTGTTATTCTGAAACTATGGGAGGACAACACAAAATAATTTGTCTCACACAGTATATTTAGCCTCTTTTTTCAGTTAGGCTAATGCAGTACTTGAAAGGAAGTATCCAACAAGAACTGGAACAGGACAATAAAAGCTACACTACCTCAAGAGAAAATAATTCAGTATTGCAACTCTGCTTGCAGCCCAGAAGGCCAGCTGTACCTGGGCTGCATCAAGAGAAGCGTGACCAGCAGGTCAAGGGAGGTGGAAAAAAGGAGGAACCAAGCCATCAAAAGGTTGATTTTACTGACTGGATGACGCAGTTTGCTTATCCTTACAGTTCAGAAAGTTTGATTTGAGCATTTTTGCTGCCTTTCACTTGAACACTGGGAGGTTAACTCTCTGCATCAAGGACAGAGAAGCATGAAACTACTGAACATAAGTAACTGTGGAAAAAAGTAAACATTGGAGGGGAATTAAGTTCACTGAAGGACTGAAGTGCCAAACAGATCAAGGAAGAAAAATTTGGCAAGGAAATTACAACTAGATAAAACTTCAAGAGATGCAATGGAAGGAATCCTTAGAATTTCAGACAGTGACCCATGTTTCTTACAGCCTTCAGGGAGTCAAGGCTACTGCTTACATCACGGCCTCATACTTGAAACAGGCACTTGTAGCAGTCAGAAAGCAATTCTGTCTTTTCCTCCTTTATGCACATTTGTAACTTTTGTGCTTCCATGTCCACTCTTATCAACTTTATTCCTTCGTGTCAGAAAAGACAGTAAGGTAAGGAGTGGAGAGAGGTGTGACCTTGTTTTCCACTGTTCATGTAAGTGGCTCTTGAAAAATTATGTGAAGGAGGAAAAAAACCACAAGTGCACTGACTTTGGCAGAGTAGCCTACCATTCACTTGGCCTATTTTGCTCTCTCCATGTGGGACTGTGAATTTTCATCTTCAACTGACAGCCAGCATTCGTTATTGCCAAAAAGCACTTTGCATGGGTATGCAGCTCAGGTGGACACTCCTAAATGAAACAGCTACCATCATCTGCAACTGCAGAGGGATGAAAAACAATGTAAGTTATCATTTCTGGTTTTCCCTTTCCTAGTTGAGTGAATCCATGTTCAGATTATTAAGCCATCTGTTTAACAAGAGTGTGAAAGCTCTGAATCGGATTATCTCATCCAGAACATCATTTTTTGATGCACATGTTTCTGACTAGGCCTAAAACTAACACTTCAGCTCTCTGAATTGGACACTACCTCATGGGATTGTGACTACCATGTCTATCTGCAGAGATATTTTACAATTATGATAGCAATGCTTGTAAAATCTTCCATTCTGCAGTTCTCTTTAAGAAAGATATCTTAGTTTTTTTTCTCCTACCTTTGTAGAACTTTTTTTTTTTTTTTTTAAATGATGCAAGCAATGTGGGGAAGAATTGAAAAACTTTAAGAAAATTAATCTGTACAACTTTCTTAAATAGCTGTTGTTCATTTATTACAAGGTCTTTTAAATTTCTTTTGTGCTATAAGCTAGCAATATGCTTAGATAGCATGACTAATTACATTATCTAGCAACTGGCCTAGACAACCTCTACAGACATCATCTAGAAATAATCTCTCAGTTTAAGCCTTTTCCTAACCCTAGCCCATTACCAGAATACAATGGTTTGAGCAGACCACCATTTCATAGCGAGAAAGGGAATGAAACACACTGCATTTTGTTTAAGGTACAATTCTTAATGACATGACAATGAAAGTCTAATGCTCCATCACTGACATTAGTTACCTTCAACTCCAAGGCGTATCAACCATCACTGGTATAACCTTAAAGAAAAGGGATATTATAGACTCAGACAGGTATTCTCCAAAACATATTTTTAATATAATCTGCATCTGGAGCCTCCAGAGAATGTAAGCACAGAATTATGCTTGTAATTCTTTTTTTTTTTTTTTTTTTTTTTTTTTTTTTTTTTTTAAAACATTGATGCTAAAGCTAATTACTTCACGTAAAAAAGAAACTGCATTGTTTCCATACATGAAGCTCACCCTGCACAGGAATTCTTTATGGTAGAATGGAACAAATACAAAATCAGTTAAAACCAAACAAACAATACCTTTTCATTCTGCCCTCACTGAGGGTTCAACAAGTACATTCACACTCGAAGCCAAGAGTTACGGACAGTCTAGTAGGTCTCCCATTGATTTCCTCAGTTACTTTGAAACATCAAATACCACTTGACTTTATTGCAGTCACAGAAAATAGAAATTAGCATTAATTCTACATGGACACATCTGTCAACACATTCCAGAGTATAACATGCATTCCACTCTGTATATTCCAAAGCTTGAGGAAGATCTTTCAACAGTAGTCATGTTCTGTCACCATCACCTTGCAGTCGATATAACACTGAAGAGAGGCACATTTTTATCCCCTTTTAAAATACTTTTGTAAAGATTTTGCTATGGCATTCTATTCCTTTTTTTTTTTATTTTTTTTTCCCTTTTTTAAGTTTTTTTTTTTTTTTCATTTTAAGTGTTTTATAAAAAAAAAAAAAAAAAAAAATTGAAATTTTAATTTCAATGAGCTGCAAAACATTTATTAAGAGAGAACTTTTTGAGGACTTCAGAAATACACAAAATAGCTTCCTAGCCAGGGACTGCTGCAGAGTACAAACGGGAAACGAATTGTTGCCTTGCATTTCAGAAAGTGCATGCATATTGCACTTAAAAAGAACACAGACATCACAGACAGCTGGAACCTTGTTACCAGTATGATACAAGAGCAGGAACATAATCTTAGAATTTGATAAGAACAGCATCTCACTTTTTACTACAGTACTGTTCATCTACCTGGCTGAAGTATTTCTGTTGAAGCCCAAGAAGAATAGAAGAAAAATGCCAATGAGAATTTCTATCCCTGTTCCCTCCTCATAATCCCCAAAATACACCTTAAAGAGGTCTTAACAAGCAAGGAGGTATCTTTGCACTTGTAAACTGCTTAATCAGTTTTAAAACCTGTGTCACCCTTGCTGAGCATTGCAATTTTTTTTCCACAGTGTTCTCAACATTTTTTGTGCTGGTAGCTCTGGAACTGCACACTTCACCAGAGAGAAGCTCAGCTATGACAAGAATAGTTACAGTTACAACAAAAAACTGTATTTTGAATGCTCTTTAGTTCATTGCCCTGACTAGTTCAGCTAGTTGTACTATTGCATATAACATCAATAGGCTTCACTAAAATCACTTTACTGCCACCTCTGAATGAGTAATAAGACTTAAAAACAAAATCTTTTGTCCAGAAGGTTGATATCTAGATTGCAGTGGAGACAACACTGGCCTGAATCAGGAGCTGAAAGAAAATCCGTTACTTCCCATCAGCACTGGCCACAACAGTACAAGCATATATGACAAGGCCTGCCATGCCTCTCCTGATCAAAAAATCCTGAAATTAATCCATAATGTATCATCTGACACAGGCCCTGTACTGACTTCTTTTTTTTTTTAAATGAAGCAAAAATTAAAGAGTAATGTAAACATACAGGTCAAGAAGGAAATGGAAATGACAATTAAATGCATCAAGTATCTGGCACAAATCACAACACTGAGTTCAGCAGATAGCCTGAACATCATGAAAAATTGATTTCTGAATGGAGCTGATGCGCTTCAGAATTGACATATCAACAGGTATTTAGACAGAACTGTACACAATAAATCAGTACTTTATCACATAAGACAGTTTCTAAAATTAAAGCAAGTAGTTCACAGAATAGGCCTTCCCTGAAAACTTAGTCTCCACTGGATTTACATATATTTAATGACCATCTGCTTTCCAACCATTTTGAAACCATTCCACTCAGTAGAACAAATATTGTTTGCTAACAGTAAACTTTTTTGAGATTGTATTTCTAGGCTAACCATGTCCAAATAACTCATTTTAAACTGGTTATTAGAAAATTATGAAGACAAATTTAAACAAAGAACACCAAGTAAGATTCCAGAGTACTAAAAAATCCTAAAGATGTTAAAATCTGTCTATTTATAGAACCAGTGAATTGTAACCTATAGAAAGAGAAGTACGTTTATGACTTGGTATAATAATGTGGATTATTTGTACTGTGGCATCATTTCTTGATTGCCTCTACTTACAAAGTAGTAGAGAAGCATAAAAAATAAAAATAAGGAGTATAAAAGTCAAGCTGTTGTTCTCACAAAGGACAATTTGGGTGGCACACGTTTTAATCATCAGAACCAGAAAAAGCCAGCTAATTCAGTTGTTTACCTTCCAAATACATTGCCTTATCTGGATTTCTTCATTCCCAGACTTTCAAAAGTGTACATGTGGCGTGGGATAAACAGATGAAAGCCACTTTTAGTAAACCCTAAAAGTGGCAATACACCAATGGCACTTTCAACATATCTTTGTTTAAAAACATTCCAGTATTTTTTTCAAGAATGACCAAGCTAGTAGTGTACACTTTAAAAAGAACCCCAAAAATGTCAGAAAGCAATGAAGAACTATTCTAACATTCCCTCAAGATACATTCTTCCTCAACTTAAAGACAAAGATGTTCCAACATAAGGTTAGAAAATAAAAAATTACTCCTCTACAATAGCTTTATCTAGTTAATTTGGCCTTTAAATTTCTACAAATCTGTCGAAAGCCATAAGCCAACTTACTGAAACTCTGGAGCAAGAAGCCCATAGGTATGCTTACTACCCACCAGTGGAATGAAGCCTTAACAATATCCAATATGCTAGGCTAAGAAACTTACAAGTGTATTCTACTCAACAGAACTGAATTTCACTTCAAGACATTCGCAGGGCTAATGTGCCATAATATAATCTACTATTAATCAACAGTAAAGTGCTGAATTATATTAATTACCTGAATTGCACATTTATGATCTCCATTTATAGATTTAACAAGTCAAAAGAGCCCTTTCTGTTGTAAAAGCTAAGCTGTTGTGCAAATATTATAAAAATAGGTACTTTCATCAGGAGCTTTATACACAACAGAACCTCTGCTTTTTTTTTTTTTTAAAGTATAGCTGACACACTAGAGAAAAGAACATGCAAATATTTATAAAGATATTCCAAATGAAAAAAAGGGACACTTCTATAGAACTTCCAATACCTTGCCATACAGCCACACAGTCAAAATAATGTTAAGTGACGTCTAGACCTGGACTGATAAGCGTCATGCCACCAACATGCTTTAGTTTCTTTTGTAGCTAAAGTTGATTTGTAAATTTAAACTACAGCATTCATTTGATCTACTTCTCATTAAAGTGTATTGTTAAGTCTGCAGTTAAACTTTGAACAAACTTCACATCTAGTCACATAACCAGCACAAGCAAGACATGACTGCAAAGGGGAAGGTGTCACTTGTATATAATGAAGACCCTTCCCCTAACTGTATGATGCAACAGAATGATTTTCAGATTTAAAGTTCAGGGAAATTATCACGTGAAAGAGTTTCTTCTCCTAAACTTTGCTCAAATCTCCTGAGGATCAAGAGTTACAGCACTCAGAGAAGTAAAATCTAAGTGTGGAGAACTGATAATTAGTTTCAAAATGTGTCATACTATGAAGCCAGCATTCTCACAAAATCTCCAAACAAACTGCAAAATGAAATGTACATTTAGTTCAAAATTGGCCAAGTGCTGCATAGAAGTATGCTCACACGCAACAGTCGTAACTCAACTAGTGCATAGAAAAGATAAAAGCACTTATGGTAGTTGCAAATGTTAACAAGTCCATCCAACTTAAACAGTTTTACAGTGAGTCCATAAAAAAGAAGAGAGTAGAAATGCTCAAGAAAAAAAAAAACCATGACCTTCCAAGCGTATAAAATCCATACGACAGTTATAATATAAGACTTTAGTGGAAAACACTCAACTCAGTTCCAAACAGCCATCAGGCAATTAAGACCAAAATAGACAAGCCTTTGGCAAACAGTTTTAAGTCTAAATATGGCATTTCATTTCTAATTAACTCACAAAATATAATATATGGCATACATTAAATACCAGGTAACCAACTCTGCCAAACTGATGCTAACAATGCTTTAGCTAATGAAAGCAAGATGGAGCAAGCTAAGAGAATGCTGGTGTATCACAACATTGTTCAAAGCAAAACATTGTCACCTAGTCGTGCTTAAGAGAAAACAGTGCTCTGGCATTTCATACTATCATCTATGGAGCAAAATAAAGTTCTCTAGTTTTTCAGGGATGTGGCCTGTGTAGCGTATGTTACGATTCACTACGACACGAGCAGCAAGACACTGCAGTGTAATATGATTTATGGGCTGGATTAAGTTTTTGGCTATTTCTTTATCATCCAGCAAATCACTAGCAGTTTTTCTATGCGAGTTTGTGGCATCAAAGTGTGAACCTGAATTAATGAGAAAATTCATTATGTCTGGATGATTGTTCAGTGCAGCAATGTGCAATGGACTATTGTTATCAGAGTCTCTGACATTTACATCAGCACCACATTCCACCAAGATAGCAGTTACTTGTAGAGAAGGGAATTTACAAACTGGGTAGCGACCCACACATGTAGTACTATTGTCAACAGCAAGGTGAAGTGGACTGAAGTTATTCTTCCCTCTAGGCTGAAGCTTAAGAAACTTATAAATAGTCTGTTTCTTAAAATACTCCTGTTCTGAACTGCAAGGTACCTTCTCCAACAAGCAAATTAAATGCAAAATGATGGCAAGGGCTTTGTTCAGTTGTATTGGATCAGGAGGACACTGGGTTTGTTTCATGGCCCGCTCTATTTCAAGAACACTTTTGCACAGTATACCCATCAGATCCTCAAATGTAACAGTAGTGCCTAGTAGGCCTTTTGCCCTATCCTGCAGCATGAAGGAGAAAAGCTCAGCAAATGACAGTAAACTGCTGGATGTCATAGGGCTCAGAGGATCTAGGTTGCTCTGCTGCATGTCCAACGCGTATTTCCACAAGTTGATGCAACGCTTAAAGTTCCCAGAGTCCGCATAGACAGCACCTCTGTATCTAATATAGTAGGATGTATCTGGGTGAGATGGGCCCAGAATACGTTCTCTAATTAACAGAGCTTGCATTCTCATCTCATCAGGGTCAGCGATAAGATTTTCTAGCTCTTCCGAGCTGTTTACCTCTTTAGCATAAGCATAGGCCATAATTAGTGTTGGTGGCACTGGTTTGCTCAGGATATTAGTTCTATCACTGTATCTCATTTCCATAGCTCGCTTCCAGTACTTCAGAGCACCAAGAAGATCTCTCTTTTTGTCAACAAACGTTGCTCCTAAAAGTTCCAGAGCATTTATGCATTCAGCCTTACTGGTTTGCACATGCTGGGTCAGGAAGTCCACAATATTTGTGTGGCCTGTCACACTAGCTGACAGAAGTGGAGTCATTCCATAACCATCCTTTTCCATTTTAGCACAATACTTGAGAAGCATCTTCATGATCTCCAAACTGCCAGATTCTGCACAATCATGTAGTGCGGTGTTTCCTACACAAGAGAAGAAAATCAGTTACACAAACAATCAAATTATAGGCTAAATCCTACTGCTTTAACTGTTTTAAAAGGTCTGTTTTGACATTTATGCAACATGAAAGGCTTTGCAGGCAGTTAAAATATTTTTAAGATCTGACTAAAACATCGAGATTACAAAGGCAGTTAAAGGAATCAGAATGCTTGATATTACTGACGGAATTAGGCAAACCTTACGGGCCTTTCTGTCTCATTCATAAAGAGAAAATTAAAACAGACTTCCCCACTACACATGAGATTTTTCTTCTAGATTTGCTTCTAAAGAGGAAGCAAAAAACTCTGAAGTTTTTTATCTTCATGCTTTCTTTTTCCTTCTTCACCTGTCAAGTTTTCTTCCTCCTTATCTTCACCAATGATTAAAAATAACGTTATCTGTATGAAAGCTGAAGGTGAGCTAACACAGTAAGAAAATTCCTTCAACACAGCACACAGAATCTTATTTACATTCAGATTATTTTTCTATGCCTGCCACTGCATAGTTTGTAAGTTAAGAGGGCTCTAGTCTTAAAATTATAGCAAAAGCTGTAGCATGCACCAGTACCATCTGATTAAAAATAACATACTAAGGTAATTAGAAATAACATTAGACACAACAGTTAAATATTGAACTATTACATTTCAAATAACTTTGCCCAGTTTCACACACAAATACATCACTGAGAAGTGACTAAGGTGGATAAGCTTTCCTGATCCCCTCCACCAGTACAGAACCTCACACTGTGGAATTCAGAAACAACCACAAGTAAAACCCACACTGTATTATGAATACTACAGATTCTGACTTAACTTTTCAGCCTCCCACTAAGCAATACGAAAATAATTAACAGAAAGCTCATGTAAATTTTTTCTTTTTTTTCCATTAGTTTTTTTTTTTTTTTTTTTTTTTAATATTATTAGCACTGTGAAATCCTAATTAACTGATTGCCAGATCATCCATCTCTATTACACAGTCAGTAAGTTTCCACACTCCCAACCAAGATCTTTTCCAAGATTACAGTCACTGGATTTTGCTTTAAAAAAAAAATGAGAGAGAAATTTCACAGAACTGTCTCATTTACATTTCTGTTAGGCTTTTGTATGCCAACAAGACAGCAATTTGCAGCAGGCTTTGTTGTACCTCTAGGCCCTCATGAGACTGACAGCAGGTTAGGAAACAAAGCAACAGTCTTGAAATTTTAATGCAATGTTTGGAAAAGCACACATTTAGCTTAGATTTTGTTGGTTATTTTTTCTTAACTTTTTTTTCTTCTCCTGAGAGATGATTTGTAAAAAAAAAAAAAAAAAAAAAAAAAAGGAATGAATATTTTAACTAATGAAATGTTAATCTGGACATGTAAGAGCTGAAGTCTGTATATAAGCAAACTAAGTTTTTTTAAGGAGCTTTTATCTCCCATTCTACTTTCTCCTGCTTTAAATACAGTAAATTGAGACACAAAATGTATGAAGTTGGCACTGTGTATATCTCTACATACATGAAAAATGATTCACATTTACAAATTACATTCCAGAAATAAAAATAATCTTTCCCTTTATTACTACCCTTCTGAGAATTCATGTAGATCTCCAGAAATTTAAATCTCCCAGCTTTTCAGAATATGACTTAAGAGCATTTACTTCCTAAAAAGAAAATAACGGATACAAAATTGAAGTATGAAGAAAAACCCTACAGAAGCAAAATTCACAATTATCTGCGAAGACTGTGATAACTTCCTCTAAATTCATGCCTACCTATCACCAGCAGAACCAGATGATCTAGATCCACAGTGCAAAGCAGTCGCTATACATCAAGTAACAGTTTATTGTGTGGTATTGTGCTTTTACATGTTGGTACACTGCTGAGACAAGGAAATATTCATCCAACACTTCTACGGCTGTTGGCAGATAGCAAAAATCCGTAGATTCATGGTCTGTTTAGACAAAAATGTTATAAAGGACACAGAGTCTTCTATCTTGATTCCTCCATAACTACCTCAATCACTGCCCCTTCTCACTCTCACTTCTCAAAGCTTCACTTGAAAATTAGTTTGCTGCTTCTTCCTCAAATCGGCTTGCAAACCATCCGACAGCACTTTCAATACGTCACTCTTGCTTTCATTTCCAACAGACACGAAAATAAAGGAAAGGACGAACGGCTGCTTTTTAGGACTAACAATCTCAACTCAAGCACGCCAAATAACAAAAATAAATTGCTGCCATCCTAATCAAATTCATACAGAGAAGCACAAACAACTCTCTTCAAATGCTAAACCTTAAAAGTTCAAAAAGCTGCAATTGCAGCAGAAAAATAGCTATGGATGTATTTTGCCCATCAACCAGAATTTTAAGTACAAGTTCCAAACGAGAGACAGTATCTGATTTCAGACAGTGAACTTGCAAAGTGTTCTATTCCAAATAAATTTTCCAATGGTGGACAATTACTTCACTATCATCTACTGAGAAGTAAAACAAGTAAGCAGATAAAGACATCCAACTTGAAATGGTGCCCGAAATTATCTATTAGATCAAGACTTCTGAAGCTAAATCCAGCTCACACACTGACAAGTGATTTTCAAGCTTTAATACCGTAGTCAATCATTGTCACTAATGGAGAGTGCTATTAAGACCAACAAATTTTCCAACTACAAGAACAGATTTTCCCAAATTCAGGCAGATTATAAGTCTGGCAAGCATAGTTAATCAAATTTAATTCCCTCTCTCTGTATTTTGGTAACTCAGTAGGTATAGGAGCACCTGACCTCTAAACTCCTAAGACGGCATGGAGTAAAAAAGTAGAGAAAATTAGTGAAACTTGCCAACACATACATTATATATGTTGTCTGGCAACGCCAGAGAAAATCTATTTAAAAATGCAATTACATCATTCAAACCATAACTACAGACTGGCTGATTCCTAAGGCCATCTGCACTTACTGATGAAAGCAAAACCAGATGCATCTGGGTGCTGCCTGAATCATCAGTTAATACAGCCACTTCAAGCCCAGGTCCCCACTCAAAGCAGTGCTCAGGAACTCAGGAATTTGCATCTGCTTCCTACCTTCAGGTCAACATTTTAGGCTATGACATTTTTTTCCTCTTAACTATACTAAAGACAAAATACATTAGTAATACTGGACTCACAAGTGCTTCAATGATTAAATATTTTGCTGGCTTTGAGA